GCAGGAATGCTGACATGGGTAGTTAACGCTCTGCTTAGCCCTCGGACTCCCCTTGCTCACATTATCTCTGTAAAGCAGTCAGACATCAGTCCAGCACTCATTACTCAGTACAATGTGGAGATGCTCCTCACCGGAAATGGCAGCTCTGTTCTACAATGTGATGTGAGCGCTCCTAACATGAGTTATCCTGCTTGAACATATGGACGTTTGCACTCTAAAGGTATTTAACGCCGGCTAAGTGTGCAGGTGACCTGGACCTTGGGAAATCAGACTCCAGTTATCATAACAATGCCAAGTCCTTCCTCCAGGTGGAGCCTCTGGTGTCAGGCACCAGCTGCTGGGGCAGAGCAGTCTCCAGGCTGGGGTTTTTGCTCCTCCAGCTGCCCTCCTTTTTCCATCCCAAGTGCAGGAGCTGAGAGGACACCAGCCCAGCAGCTGGTGCCTTTGAAGGCACTTCATCTATGAAATGAGCTTGATTTTTCCCTCATTACGTCTATTATATGCAGGGAAGTGTCTGGAGGAAGGATGGGGGAGGTGAGAGCAGCAGCTGGTAGCAGGCAGATTTGCATGAAGGGGCTGATCTCAGCTCTGGGGGTTTAAATGAGACTCAGAGGGTCCCAGCCAGAGACCGGTTTGCCTGAGGAAGCCGAGCTGGTCAGGATTCCCACCATGGCCTGGGCCGCGCTCCTTGTGGTGCTCACGTACTGCTCAGGTGCTCCTCGGGAAGGACTGATCTCAGCCTTTCAAGCCAGTGGTCTTGCGGTTTATTCCCCCCTAACATCCCTACTGCATCCCAAGGGAGGTTTCTTCAGCAGAGAGTTTATCCCATGTTTTCCCCTCTTCCTTCAGGTTCCCTTGCCGAATACGTGCTGACACAGCCGCCCGAAGTGTCTGTGTCTCCAGGACAAACTGCTCAGCTCACGTGCAGGGGAGAAAAGTTTGATAAATACTACGTGTACTGGTACCAGCAGAAATCTGGCAGTGTCCCCAAGCTTGTGATGTACAAGGATAAAGAGAGGCCCTCTGATGTCCCGGACCGGTTCTCTGGAGCCAGCTCTGGTGACACAGCCACCTTGACCATCACAGGAGTCCAAGCCCAGGACGAGGCGAACTATTACTGCCAGGTGTGGGACAGCGACAGCAGCACTCACCACAGTGACACAGGGCAGTGGGGAAGTGAGACACAAACTTCTTGTCCTCAGGGGGGAAACTTTGATCTTAGTGATTCCCAAGGCCGTGTGAGGGGCGGCTTCCACACAGAGCCCTATGCATGCATGGTGACCCCCACCCGGGCAGAGTCAGGATCAGCACCGCAGGTCTGGCCAGGGCTGCCTGGGATGAACACGGTAGTCACCCCTGGTGCAAGTGTATGAAGCACCAGGCTACACAGGAACCCCCCGGCTGTACCTCAGCACGTGGCTCCCGTCCCTTGTCCTGTTGTATCTCTCAAGCCAGGTCCATGGCCTCTCGCTCCCACACAGTCTGTGAAGCAGGGTGTGTCTGACGGGTGGAGGGCAGAGTAGGAGGAGAAGGACACCACCCAAAGCCCTGACCTGTGCAAGGGATGGGGAGCCCTGCTGACGCCACAACCCCCAGTTCCTCCTCATGGCTTCCCCCTGTCAATCCCTGCTGCCCCTCCGGGGACGCATATCCTGAGTGGTGGTGGGGCCTCCTCAGCATTGACGCGAGACCCCAGCCAATGCAGAGAAGAACAGTCCCCCGCAACACCAACCATGCTGGCAGCATCTGCACCCTGCTGACTCTAGCAGCTGTTAGGGACAGAGAGAGGCCAGGTCTGAACATATCCCAACCCCTGTCTGTATGGGGCCACATTACCAAATGCCTGAGCAGTTTGGAGAACCAGGTACAAATTCTCATTGTAACACGATGTGATTTCAGGGGGGGCAGCCCTGCCTCAATGCAGACCAGAGCTGAGGGTCTGTGCTGTGCAGGCACAAGCTGCTGGGTAGAGCAGTCTGCAGGCTGGCAGCTTTGCTCCCACAATAGTCATCCCAATTCCATGCCAAGCACTGGAGCCAAGGAGATACAGTCAAGGCAGTGGCTAGAGCTGAGGAGGAGCAAGCGCTGGGCAGACACACAAGGTCTGCCCTGCCTCTGACACCTCTTCCCCACTCGCCCTGCATCTAGGGTCCCCCTGCAAGGAAGGGCACCAGGAGGGGCCCTGTCAGACCTGCCTGAAGTGACACCTGCTTCCTGCTTCCCAGCCGTCTCCAGCTCCAGCTCCAGCCCCAGGCAGTCTGCAGCCAGTGTCGTTGTCTCCTCATGGCCCAAAGGGCTGGGGACCAGGGGCTGCGAAGATAGCACCTTGCATTGTAGCCCCAAGTGAAAACCATATGACTAGCCTCTGCCCACGGGAACAAACTCCAGACACTGAGTGGCTGAGCTCTTTGAGGCAGCTCCTCTGTGGGATGAGCTTGACTTTGAGATGAGTTTGCGAAGGGGGGGGATGTCTCTGCCCTCATCCACTTGTTTCATATGGAAAAGGGAACATAACTCCCCTGCCTCCCTTCTCATCTTCTGAGAAGACTTGTGTCCCACACATCCACCTCCCTCCTTCTGGATGGGGCCCTCTGCATAGCATGGCTGAGGAGTGGGCAGCGCCCAGGACAGAGCCAGGGAGAAGGGTGACAGCTCCAGTTGCAGCCCCTGGTGACACTGCCCCTGCTCCCTGGCTGCAGCTCCCTTTCACATCCCCAAGAGCAGAGGACCCAGGAGAGGGGCTGGCTGCAGAAATCCCCACGTCCCTTGCAGCAGGAAAGGCCAGTCGAGTTTCCACCTGCCAGGAGCAAAGGCAGCGTGTACTGGAAGTGAGGCCCTGTGAGCTCAGACTGCCACAGTCAATCCAAGCTGCAGTGATTGTAGGACCCGACTGGGCGCTGCTGGTCCCTGTTGAGTGGGACCGAACACGGGGCTTTGTACAGTGAAACCTTTTCTTGCAGACTGATCCCACCTTGCATGTGACTCCTCCCCTGTGTCCACAGGGGCCAATCAGACAGGAGCACATTAGCAACAAGGCCCCACTTCACTGCTCCCCTCCCCTCCACTTCCCCCCCACTGCCTATATAAGAGGCAGGCATGGGAGGGCGTTTTCAGCGACTTTGTCCCTTCTCTCCTGCAAGTGCTGCTGATCTCCTCACCATGCAGTGGGCTCCCCTCCTTGTCCTGCTGGGGACGTGGTGCACAGGTGAGAGTGGGGAGAGGGATTATTACACAGAGAAGTGGCTGCTGAAACCAGGGCCCAAGCACAGGACCAGCAGGAGGGGAGCCCTGGGCGGATGTGACAGGGGTCTGCATGTTGTTTTCCAGGTGCCAACTCACAGCCTGCGCTCACTCAGCCGCCCGCAGAGTCAGTGTCCCCAGGAAACACTGTGAAACTCTCCTGCACCATGAGCAGTGGGACCAGCATCAGTGACTATGCTGTGTACTGGTACCAGCAGAAACCTGGGACCCCCACTCGGTACCTGCTGTATTACAAGTCGGATTCTGACAAGCACCAGGGCTCCGGGGTCCCCGCTCGCTTCTCTGGCTCCAAAGACACGTCCAGTAACACCGGCTACTTGACCATCGCCGGGGGCCCCCAAGAGGACGAGGCTGACTATTACTGTACTGTGTGGCACAGTGATGCTTGTCACAGTGACACAGCCACAGGGGAAGTGAGACAAAAACCTCCTCTGCCCTCCCTCAGCCAGACCTGCAGGGAGCCATATGAACTGCAGGTAGCCTTATGAACTGCAGCAATCACCTCTGCAAACATGCCATGAAGTGTAACGTCTCCCTCTGCAAGGGAGAAACTAGTTGCCTCCCAACCAACCTGTCTAAGTAAGGATAGGCAGCTCTTCCCTTGTTTTCCCCCATTGAGCCCCTCTGCTTTCTGCCCTTCTCCCTCCTCATCCTCTGCCCTCTTGAGGAGAGACGGGACCAACAGCTTCCTTGCTCCCTCCTCACCTTGTGAGAACTCATGCCCCCCATCCCAGCCCTCGCCTCCCTCCCGTTGGACGGGGACCCTGCGCAGACTTGCTGAGGAATTGCAGCCCCCAGGGACAGATGGAGGAAGGAGGGCGGCAGCCCCAGCCACAGCCTCAGTGACATCCCTCCTCAAGTGTCCAGAGTCAGGACATCGTAGAGCTGCGGAGCTGCCGCTCTTCTACCTGACTCCTTACCACCTTCCCAGTGTCACCCACCATTAAACAGCCTCAGCCCTGTCCTCCCAGCATGTGAACAAACTTTTCCTCTCAGAGGACATGCCTGTTCGGGGCTGGGGGCTTGTTTTTACCTTTAGAAGGGGCAGCAGAGAGAGTGGCGGATGTGGGAGCAGCAGAATTTCCCCTCTGCCCTCAGCTGTGATTAGAGTGGCCACCAAGGTGATTAGAGTGGCCACGACAATGCCCTTTGCCTTCAATGAATAAGACATGAGACTCTTTGCCTTAGAGAAGACTTTTCTGTATGCTCATGGAATAAATAGATGGAGCCTTTTGGTTCACTTTGCCCCTTGGATTAGATTTGGCTTTGTTTGCACATGAAAAAGAAAACAGTTATTTGCTATGTTTGTAACTGTCTATGAAGGGAACTGAAATACCAAGAGCAGCAAGTGAGCAGGGGCAGATCTGCAAGAAGGGGCCATTCTCAGCTCCAGGGCTAAGTACAGACAGTCAAAAAGCCCAAGGCTGAATTGATTCAGTCTTTGCAGGTTAGTCTAAGCTGTAGTGTTTAAACAGAGAAACAACTGGACAAACATTCAGTTTTGATTCAGGAAACGCAGACACATGCCTGCAGTGGCTCAGACCAGAAGCCAGGGGGACTACAGCATGGACCTCTGGCATGTAGCCAATAAGCCTGTGCAAAGCAGCTAGTATTCGCTTTGGATTCGGATTTGGCCGATTCGGGGGACAGTGATTTGATTCGGTGATTCGAATCACAGTCCTGAATCGATTTGGTCGAATCACACAGGCTCCATCCCCAGCCCACTCTCAACGACTGTCCCACCCACCACAGCTCCCGGCTCTTTGGGGAAAGAAAGCTCCCACTCACTGGATGCTGCCTGGCAGGGGGGCAATCCCAACTGCCCCCCACTGCCCCACACTACATGGGGGGCTCTATCACAAGCCCCGCAACCCCCACCTGCTCTCCCTCCCCATGGTTGTCCCACCTTCCCCAGCTCCCAGCTCTTTAAAAAAAAAAACAATAAAAAACCCTGAACTTACCAGCTCCTGCCCGGCACTGGGCGATTCCCACTGCTCCACACTGCATGGGGGGCTCTTCCACAACCCCTCAGAAGCCCTGAGGCAGTTGCAGCAACCAGTAAACTCGGGGTTTGGGGTTGTTGTTTTTTTAAAGTGCCGGGAGCTGGAGTGGATGGGGCACCCATGGGCGGGGCTGGGGGAGCAGGCGGGGGTTAGGGGGGCTTGTGACAGAGCCCCCAATGCAGCACGTGGCAGTGGAGGGCAGCGGGAATCACCCCCCCTACCTGGCAGCACCCATTGAGTTGGGGGGGCTGGGGGAGCAGACAGGGGATGGAGCCTGGCAGGGGTCCCCCCATGGTCCTGTCCCCCTCCTCCAGTACCCTACTTACCAGCATGGAGACCAGGTCCAGCTCCCTGCCACAACCAGCAGGGACTGCCCAAATCACTGAAGCTCTCCAAATCTTTTCCAAATCAATTCAAAGAGCTTTGAATTGATTTGGACCTTTTAATTGGTCCCTTGATTCGATTCAGATTCAGAGATTCAGTCACCGAATCAGGCCGAATGTCCTCCAAATCAAATTCTCACCGAAGCGTCACACAGTCCTAATAGCCAGCATGGACTGTATGTTTGCTTTCTCTTCCTGCTGCCCCTGAGGTCTCTAGGTTTTGCAGTCCAGAATCACAGCAGCAGAACTCCACAGGATTGTTCATCACATCCTCTTCCTGCTTCCAGGTGCCTTTGGGATTTGTAGTCCAGAGTCACAGCCAGCACTAAGTTTCAGTAAGTTTAGCAGAGCAGGGCAGGGCAGCTCTGTACTTGGGGAAAGTGGTGTTTAACCCCCCCTCCCCCATGGCCCCAGACACCAGCTGGGGTATGCCTGGGGGGCAGTCCCTGCTTCCCCTCTCCCCCCATCCCCCCAACCCTCCTCTGCTGGAGCAGACAGTACAGTCCAACCCAGAGCTGGAGAGCATTCTGGGATGCTGGGGGACTGTGATTTAACTTGAACCGGGAAGGGGTCTGGGACAGAAGTTTCATAAGCCAGGTTCATAGCTTTCATAGATTTCATAGACATCAGGGCTGGAAGGGACCTTGGAAGATCATCGAGTCCAGCCCCCCGCCCAAAGGGCAGGAAGTCAGCTGGGGTCATAGGATCCCAGCAAGATAAGCATCCAGTTTCATCTTGAAGGTGTTCAATGAAGGTGCTTGAACCACCTCCGGTGGCAGGCTGTTCCAGACCTTGGGGGCTCGGACAGTAAAGAAGTTCTTCCTTATGTCCAGTCTGAAACGATCTTGAAGTAGTTTGTGACCATTCGACCTCGTCATCCCTTGGGGCGCTCTGGTGAACAAACGTTCCCCCAGATGCTGGTGGTCACCCCTGATAAACTTGTAGGTGGCCATCAGATCACCCCTGAGCCTGCGCTTTTTCAGGCTAAAGAGCCCCAGGGCTCTCAGCCTGTCATCGTAGGGTCTGCTTCCCCAACCCTGAGGTTGACTCAGATCAGTTAAGTCTGATACTATACTCAATGAGGTTTATCTTAAACCAGTTTCAGCCATTTTGAAACTGGTTTATATGCACTGAATTTCTGTTCTGTTACAGGTTTAAACCAGTTTCTGATGACTTAAGCCAGTTTATGTGTAACTTCTGTCCCTAGCCCAGGGGTTTAAGAGGGTTTAAAACTATTTGCTTCAGGAAGTCAAACTGGTCTGGATTCCCACCATGGCCTGGGCCCCTCTCCACCCCATCCTAGTCATGTACCACACTGGCATGAGGAAGAATGGGGCTTTTCTAAGTGTCTTCTGCGGTAGAGATTTTCCTTTCTCCATCCTGCTCTGGCTGTCATGTGTTCTCTCTCTGTAGATTTACTCACGATTGATTATTCCCAATGTTTTCCCCTCCTGCTCCAGAACATGGTGATTCAGCCATCTTCAGTGTCTGTGTCTCTAGGACAAAGCTAAACTGACCTCCTCTGGGACCAACACAGAGATCAAGATAGTGCCTTGCAGTGCCCTCCTGTTCACTAGATCTGATGCTATAGGCAGACCCTCAGGCATCCCTGACCACAGCTTGGGTTTCAACTCTGGCAACACAGCTATGCTGCAAATTGCTGGAGTCCAAACCCAGGATGACACTGTTCATTACAGTCAGGTGTGGGACAGCAGCACTTACCACAGTGGCATAGTGCAATAGGGAAGTGAGACACAACCCTCCTGCTGTCAAAGGCCACCTTTACTATTTACATTTACAGTGGTCTGAGAGCCAAGTCTTCATCCACTTCACTAAACTGAGGGCCAGTACATGGTCAGCAGATACTGGAGAGCTCCCCTGAAGTCAGTCAAATTACATCACCCAGAGATTTCACTATTGATCTTCCAAAAACTGAGGGTCTCCCTTCCTCCTAGGATTTCACCAAGAAACCAGCAGGCCCTTTGACTGGCTTGTGCTTCTCATACGGTCAGCAGAGGCAGCAGAAATATCCTCAGCCCAGAGTTCAGAGTCCTCCCACCTTTTCCCTTCCAGTCTTAGCAGTGTCCACACTGCAGGGCTCAATGAGTGCAAACCATGTACTCCATAGTACAGCTCAGCTGTGGAATTAATCGTCTTTAACAATTAAGTAACCCACAGGCCTTGTTCTCTCTGCTTAGCTTCTCCTCTGCCCTTTACTCGGTGTCATCAATGTATTTAATTGTGATACGTTATTTCCCCTCAGTCTGAAGCACCTTGAAGGCTCTGTGGGTGGGAGCTCAAGCCGAGGAGTCCAATACAATCTGCTCATCATCAGGGATTTGCTTCCCCAGTACAGTGTGCAGTGAGGCAGGAAGCAAACTGGGCCCCAGCCCAACTTGGTCAGAAATTCATGATCTGATGCCAGGGTCACACCCAGGGACAGATCAGAGGACGTGGTCCAGCAGAGATCTGGGGTCCTGCAGGAGGGGTGCTGAACCTCACTCCTAGTTGCAAACGTCTTAAAGAACCTGCATGAAAACATCTGGATATGGAGCAGTTTCTAAGCCTGCCCTTGCTCCCACTGCCATCTGCAGGGTACGCAGGGGTGCCGAGGCATGCATACACTCAGATATGCTACAATGGCTTCTTTCCCTGACTGCTTTGTGCCGAGCTCCATGTGGGGGCCTCACTGCCTTAGATCTCAAGCTGCCAATGCTCCACGGCCATTGCTCACACCGAGGTACCAAGACTCGCTGACATGGGCAGTTAGCACTTTTGGGGGAAAAATTTCCCCTGTTGCTGCAAGTGTCTCGCTGTGTGGTATGAGGTCCCCCTGCTGCCTGCCGTGGTTTTCTGCAGCCCCCGTTTGTGCAGCAGTGGATGAAGTCTCTCATCTCTGAGGTTCTGCTGCCATCTACTGGCCTGTCCCAAACAGAACAAGGCAGCCATCCATCTGGGACTGCCAGCAATAGACCCAGCCAGGGAAATCCTGAGTG